GGGGCTGGGGAAATCCCATCGGTCTTGTATGTGTGTATGTGTATGTGTGTGTGTGTGTGTGTGTGTGTGTGTGTGTGTGTGTGTGTGCATGCCGGTGGGCCGGATCGCCGGGCATGGGGAGGGAGCCGTGCCTTCTTTGTTGCTGCGCGGTGGCATCTCGCTAACCTGGCCCCCCTTTGCCGACCTTGACCATGGCAGTTCCCCCCGCGCAAGGACCTCCTGGTGCCCAACATCCTGCTGGTGCCGCTGGAGACCCTGCTCCCGGAGTACATGGAGTCCAGCGACCTTGCCGGAGGAGCCGGCCATGTGCGCTCGGCAGAATCACCCTCCTCGGCCAGTGCAACGTCCCCGTTGGGGTCCGGTGGCGAGGGGCTCTTCTTGAGCGGCGGCGACCGGGCGCTATTGTGCCGGTGCGAGCGCCGGCAGCGCCGCCGCGTTGTCGGTCCAGCTGTGGCAGACTCCATGTTCCGGGAGCAAGGCCTGTCGGAGGAGTTCATCGACCGTGAGAATGAGGACTGGCCGAAGCACCCGACACGGCAGGCACGCCGGCTGCAGCGAGACTCGGCCCGAGTGATTGCGGCCATGTCGCGCGAGGTCCTCAGCCGGTATATGGCCGGATCGCCGACCACCCCCGGTGGCAATGCCGGCGGGTCCACCGGCCCGTCCCCTGGCGGGAGCCTTGCCGCCAGCCCGATGCACGCCGGCCCGGAGGGCTCGGCCGCCCTGACCCCGGTGGGCCACGGCATGTACAAGGCCTCGGCCATGGACTTCTTGCCGATGTTTGCCCACTCGCGCACCCCGTCCGGCAATGGGAGCAGCACGGCCCCGTCGCCGGTCGATGCGCAGGGGGCGCCCGGGCCGCTGGCCTCGCCGGCCTTTAGTTTCACCGCCTCGCCGACCATCAATGACTTCCCGAAGTTCGGCCGGGTGCTGTCCGGGGGGTATTTCGACCTGCCGCCGGGTGGTGGGGCCGCCCCGGGCCAGGGCGCCAGCGGCGGCGCCGGCCTGCTCCCAGGAGGCGGGCCCCCCTCTCACTACGACGATAGCAGCGAGTGCAGCGACGTCGGGAGTCTTGACGATGGCGGTGGAGCCCTGGACACCCATTACTCCGGCTCACTGGAGGACACCCAGTCCATCAAGGGCCAGTGGGATGACCAAGTGGACTCCATGGTCTGACTTGATCGAGGGCGAGCGGGCAGGCTTACAAGGGTGAGCGGGCAGCAGCCGAGGCATGGAGATGGGCAAATCGTCTGCCCTTTCCCCTGAAGCAACCCTTTCAAGCCACGCGCCGCCTGCTCCCCCCCCCCCCCCTCCCCTCGCTGGCGAGGGGAGGCTATCACTTCGCCCCGGCCCCCGGGGTATCACCTCGACGAGCCTCGCCTGCGCGGTGTGCACTCGCTGTGCTCGCACCCCTCGCCATGTGCTTGCCTCGGCCTTGCGCGAGATTGGGCGGTCCCCGCCCATAGACATCCTCGGATGGCGGCGTGGGAGGCGAGGCAAGAGTGACGTAGATGAACAATGGGAAGGAGGGAGATGCCTGCCGATAGATCTTCCTCCGCTCGTCCCCCCCCCCCCTGCCCCTGACTTTGGGGCGGGGGAATTGTGTTTCGTCGGAGGCGAGCCAAGAGCGCAGGGGGGGATCGCGCCGAGGCAGGAGGGCATCGAGCACATGGCGGTCCAGTAGGCCGGCACACATCGCCCTTCGCGCCTTCCCCCGCTCCCTGGGTTCATTGGATGCATCCCCCCCCGGCTCTTGGACAGTAAGACGCACAGACGCCCGGCCCCGGGGGGAACGCGTGAAGGGACCCTCTCCTCCCCCACCGGAGAGGGGGGGCCTATTGAAGGGGTGCCCGCCCCTGGTGGCATGTCATGCCCTAGGGCCCGGGGGCGGTGTGGGTGACCTCCCGGCAAGATGGGAGCATCGCCATTGCCTGCATAAAATAGATTATATCACCTCCTTAGGCTGTTGAATTCATGCGGGCGGCGCACCATCAGGGCGCACCGCCGGATGCCAGGGGGCAGGGGGTCGGAGATGGGGAAAGAAGCCCAAGGAGGAAGGAGCGAAAGCAAGAGAGAGAGGCGGGCGGGTGCCCTTGTTAGCCGGTAGAGCAGGGGCCGGGGGCCGGAGGTTTTGCGAACGTTTATTGATGGCAAATATGCAAGGGGAGGCTGCACACGTCAAAGAGGAAGAGAGGGAGAGGGAAAGAACAAGGGCAACAAAGGAAGGCACCCCGCTTGGGGCAAGGGGAGGGGAGAGCGGCGGCAGGGAGAAGCGATGCTGGCGAAGCAGGCACATGCCCACTTCAGCATGGGTGGTGCATCTTCTCCGCCTTGCGCCCTCAACGGCGACGATCGTAGTCGCGGTCGCGCTCGCGGTCCCGGTCGCGCGACGACCGGTCGTAGCCGCGTTCCCGGCTGTCCTCGCGCGGCCGGCGGGCCGAGCGCGAATGCCGGGCCGAGTCCATGAGGGCATCCACACCGAAGACATCGTCATCCTCATCGTCATGGCGTCCGCCGCGGGAGGGGGGGGGCATGCGCCGGTCACGGTCGTGGTCACGACCGGGGCTCCGGTCGCGGAAGTCGCGCCGATCATCGCGATAGTGCGACCGGTCATCGTCCGCCGGGGCACCGGTGCCGGGGCCGCCACGGGCCGGCCGGCCGGTGTCATCCGCCTCGGTGGTGGGCATGTGCGGGGCGGTGTCACGCTCGAACTCCACCGGGCCGCGCCGGGCGCCGGCCCCGCTGCCATCGTCAGTCGGGACATACACCCCGCGGCTGGCGGTCGAGTAAAGGGGATCGGTGTAGACATTGTAGGCGTCCTCGTCATTCCAACGACCACTGCCGGCCCCATCGAGGGCCTGGGCCCGAGCATAGACCCGCTGGTCGACCAGCATGTCGCCATCCGTGCGACCGGTCGGCCGGGCCTGGCCAAGGGCCACGTCTTCGGAGGTGTCGCGCTCGCGCGTGCGCCCGGTGGCCGACATGCGCATCTCCCGGCGGACGTCGTATGCCAGGTCGCGGCGGGCGGCGTCGCGCTGGCGCTCCTCCTCGGTCATAGCGCGAGTGGTCTCGGCGAGACTGGGGCGTCAGCCGGAGGGGTCAGTCGGGGGATTCAGTCGGAGGGGTCAGTGACATGTGTGTTTTGGCCGGTCTTCTTGGCCGCCCCCCCCCCCCC